CCCTTGCGTACCAAGGGTGAGGTCCCTGATGTCTTGATCCCCTGGATCCGCGCTGCTCGTCTCCAGCTCCGCCAGCGGTTCCAGTCGGACATTCCTGTCCTACGTCTGCACTCTGACAGAGGTGGCGAGTTTTCCTCTGACCTCTTGGCAGCCTACTGTGCGGAGCACGGCATCCGCCAGACGTTCACTCTCCTGGCCTCTCCGCAGCAGAATGGGCTTGCTGAGCGCCGCATTGGTCTTGTCATGGAGGTCGCTCGTACCTCCATGATCCATGCTGCTGCCCCCCATTTTATGTGGCCGTTTGCAGTGCAGTACGCCGCGCATCAGCTCAACCTCTGGCCCCGTGTCTCCGTTCCGGAGACCTCGCCCACCCTGCGTTCGACGGGGGAGGTTGGTGATGCGTCGGTGTTCCGGGTCTGGGGATGTCGAGCCTTTGTCCGCGATACGTCCGCGGACAAGCTCTCCTCCCGTGCCGTTCCCTGTGTCTTCCTTGGCTTTGTCCCTGACGCGCCTGGCTAGCAGTTTTACCACCCCACCTCGCGTCGTGTCTTCGCCTCTCAGGACGTCACCTTTGACGAGTCGGTACCCTTTTACCGTCTCTTCCTCTACCGCACTGCCCCGCTCCCCCCCCCGCCGCTCTTCCTCACCCCAGGTGTCCCGTCGGTAGACCCCCTCCCTCCCCAGGGTGCTGCTCCCTCAGGTGTTTCCCAGGTAGACCCGGTCAAGCCTGTCGATGTAGCTGTTGACTATGGTCCTGCGCGAGGTGCTGAGCGTGCTGAGCCTCGTGGTGCTGGGTCTGGGGGCACTGAGACTGGGGGTGCTGAGCCTGGGGGTGCGGAGACTGGGGGTGCTGAATTTGGGGGTGCGGAGCCTTTGGGTACTGAGCCTGGAGGTGCTGCAACTGGGGGTGCTGAGCCTGGGGGTGCTGAGACTGGGGGTGCTGAGCCTGGTGGCGCTCCCTCTTCACAGCAGCTGCGTGAGTGGTACTCTCAGCGCTACAGCCTCCGTCGTGGGGCTTCTGGAGCTGGGGGGTCTACTGGAGTCGGGGTTGGTGGCCCCGCGGGTGCAGTGTCGCAGCCAGAGCCTCCCTCCCCTCAGCGGCTACGTGAGTGGTACGCCCGGCGCTGTAGCCTTAGGAGTGGAGCCCCTGGTCCTGAGGCACCGCCAGCTGGAGGCCCTGCTGCTACTGGTGGTCCTGGTGCTACTGGAGGTGCTGCTGGTGCTGCTGTAGGTACTGGAGCGGCTGGAGGTGCTGCTGGTGCTGCTGGAGGTTCTGAAGCTGCAGGAGGTGCTGCTGGTGCTGCTGGAGGTCCTGGAGCCGCTGGAGGTGCTGCTGGTGCCGCTGGAGGTACTGGAGCTGCTGGAGGTGCTGCTGGTGCTGCTGGAGGTTCTGGTGCTGTCTCTGCTGCTTCTGGGGGCGCTTCACGGCCGAGGCCGTACTTCGTTCCGCTCCTCCAGCAGGTTCTTGGTCCGCCACCTCCTCCTAGTCCTCCTCCCTCCTTAGAGTGTCCTCCGCCTGTTCAGTTGCAGTCACAGCTACCGCCTGCCTCGCCACTTCCTGGTCCTTCTCCCTACGCTGGTCTGACAGGCGGTCTTACAGAGCGTCGTGAGCCTGAGTCTCGTCCTGTGTCGCCTGTGTCTCGTCCTGTGTCACCTGTTCGTGCTGCTCGCACTGGTCGCCGTGTTCCGCGTGAGCGTCCTCCTGCTGTCCCAGGCACACACTATATGACTCTGCGCCCTTCCACTGCTCCACAGCGTGTCCCTCTGCCGTCTCCTCCTGCGTCCTCCCTTCCTGTTCTTACTGACCCGGAGTCAGACTCTCTTCGTGCTGCCAGTCCTACTGTCACGCGTCTCCTGGCCAGTGCTGTCACTGACCCTTCCTTTGAGTCTGCTGCTGCGTCTGCCCTAGTTGCTGAGCTTGTCGACTTTGCTGCTCGCTGTCGTCTAGACTACGCTGCGAGTCTTGTTGCTGAGTCTGAGTCTGTCTGTCCTCCGTCCGTCGGGGGTGAGTGTGCTCTAGGCACGGACGTCCTTGAGGACAGACAGGAGGACCTTGAGTGTCTTGCAGCCGCTGCGCCTCATCTCGTGTCCATGCTGATTGCCCCTGAGGGAGACCCGGATGCTCCAGACATCCCGACCCCGCGCTCTTACGCTGAGGCGATCGCGGGTGAGTACTACTCTCAGTGGCAGACAGCTATGGACGCAGAGATGGCATCCTGGAAGTCCACTGGCACTTACGTCGACGAGGTTCCCCCTCCTCAGGCGAACATCGTCAGTGGCATGTGGATTTTCAGGGTGAAGCGGCCGCCGGGTTCTCCACCTGTCTTCAAGGCTCGTTACGTTGCTCAAGGCTTCAGTCAGCGAGAGGGAGTAGACTTCTTTCAGACCTTCTCCCCCACCCCGAAGATGACCACTCTTCGGGTGCTACTGCACGTTGCTGCTCAGCGTGACTACGAGCTTTACTCTCTTGACTTCAGCACAGCTTTCTTGCAGGGCAGCCTGCACGAGGAGATCTGGCTGCGCCGCCCTCCTGGCTTCACTGGGTCGTTTCCTCCTGGTACCCAGTGGAGCCTCCGGCGGCCGGTCTACGGTCTTCGCCAGGCGCCACGTGAGTGGCACGACACACTGAGGACTACTCTTGCGGCACTTGGGTTTGCGCCTTCTACTGCTGACCCGTCGCTGTTTCTGCGCACCGACACTTCGCTGCCGCCGTTCTACATCCTCGTGTACGTCGACGACTTGGTCTTTGCCACTGCTGATACTGAGGCTCTCGCCCACGTGAAGTCGGAGCTGCAGAAGAGACACACGTGCACAGACCTGGGTGAACTGCGCAGCTACCTTGGCTTGCAGATCACCCGGGACAGAGCACGCCGCACCATCACACTGACTCAGTCACACATGGTGCAGCAGGTCCTTCAGCGCTTCGGCTTCACCTGGTCCTCAGCACAGGCCACTCCTCTGGCTATAGGTCACTCGCTCTCAGCTCTGCCTTCGGATGAGTCCGTAGAGCCGAGTGGTCCTTACCCAGAGCTAGTTGGTTGCCTCATGTACCTGATAACTTGCACTCGTCCTGACCTAGCATACCCTCTTGGCCTTCTGGCCCGCTACGTGGCTCCTGGCAGGCACCGAAAGGTGCACTGGGATGCTGCAAAGAGGGTATTGTGCTACTTGTGCAGTACATCTGGCATGGGGCTCGTGCTTGGAGGAGGGAGCTCAGTTGTTCTCACTGGGCACTCAGACGCTTCTTGGGTTGACGACCAGGCTACTCAGCGGTCGTCACAGGGTTACACCTTCAGCCTTGGCTCTGGCTCAGTTTCGTGGCGTTCTACGCGTTCGTCTTCAGTTCTAAGCTCCAGTTGTGAGGCTGAGATCTACGCCACAGCCATGGCTGCACAGGAGTTACGCTTGCTCACCTACCTGCTGACCGACCTGGGAGAGCGGCCTCGTTCTCCTCCAGTGCTGTACGTCGACAACAAGGTTGCCATTGCCTTGTGTGAGGAGCACAGACTAGAGCACAGAACGAAGCACATCGCTCTACGTTACTTTCTGGCTCGAGAGTTGCAGCAGCGTGGTCAGCTTCGTCTGCGTTACGTGGCCACTCAGGCCAACACTGTTGATATATTCACCAAGGCACTTCAGCCTAGTGATCATCAGCGCTTCTGTACTTTGTTAGGGCTTGTGCCCACTTTGCCTCACTTGCTGTAGACCTTGCCTGTACTGTGATCTATATACTTATACCTGCATGGTTGCACTGCTAGGTAGAGATCACTGTGATGTTTGTGATGCATATATGCCTCTGCATATGAACTGGCCTTGTGGCTCTTTGCTTGTGCTCAGTGTGTGTGGTGACTTTGTGATCCACCCTGAGCTTGCATTCTCTTTCTTGACTGGTCTTGTGACCCCTTGCTCTACCCCACTTAGCCTATGGGGGTGTGTCAAACATTATATATGTTATTGTTGTGTAGGCTGTAGTGGGTTAGCCTTTAAGGGGTATATCATTCTAGGGTTTGCTACTTGTATCACCAATCTTCATAGTTCAATCACTTGTTCTTTCTGACAGTGTCTCCCAATTGCAACGATGCTGAACAAATAGGCGATGCCAGGTCAAGTGCATGTCATCAAGTACATGAGGCACCCCACAAACTTTGATACGGTACAATGTCAAAGTTTGTGCAAGCAGATCGAGAATGAACAGAAACGTCATACATATACCTAACCCTAAGCTTGGCTAACCACTAATGTAACACATATATGTACGACACAACGGTGGAAATCACGAATGCTCCCAGTCACATACAACTCATCATACCGTCATACCCCGGATATAACCCCATGGGGGGCAATAATAAAACATGTTTTTTGGGGGGGGTGGGCTTATAATCGAGTAAATTTATAAGCGCGGCGTCTATAAAATGGCATATACATATATTTATATTTTTTAACACCAGACTGTAGATCTCGTGCCTTGCCTTTTCAATCGAGTCGAAGTTACATGGGGTTGTCAGAAATTCTCGCGCGCGCTGGGAGATACACTCAATCTGACTCACATCCAGCTTCTGACAGCTCCTGCTGACTGGACCCGTAGGGTCCGAATGTGAAGGGAACCGAATCTGAAGGGTCCGAATGTGAAGGGACACGAATCTGCAACACATCTGCCTGCTAAAGTAAAAATCGTTACAGCGTTCTGAACACATTTCAAAATTTAAAGTTAACGTGCACTTATAATACAAGTTTTTTCAGGGGGGGCGCTTTTAATCGAGCAGCGGATATAAGCGTCACACGCCAATTAAAAGCACCAGGCGCTTATCCGAGGGTGGCGCTTATATCCGGGGTATGACGGTATTCTATAAACGGGGAAACGAAACCCTTCGAATCAAGTCGTACATTTTCTGATTATTGTAACTAAGAAGGTTGGTTTCAAAGATTGCAGCAACAAGGCTCTGGCACATGCTCACAGCAGCTCACAGGTAGCGCATGCTGTGCTGTGCAGACAGCAAGGTTCACCCATGCACGGCATACTTGACATCGCACAGCCGCATCGCTGCCTGCACTGCACGCCTCCTCGCCTCACCATGCACCACCCCACCCCGCCCCTGCATGAGCCGTGCTGCCCTCTGCATGACTGCCAGCGCGCCTGCCTCTGCAGCCGTGTGCCTCAGCCACGGCACCCTCACCACGTTGCTCACCACCTCCACCGCCGCCGCTCCCTCCCTGGCTCTGCCCAGCACAGTGACCCCAGTGCCCTCAGCGCCCATCTCAGGGTGGCGCTGCCAGGGGTGGCGGGCAATGGCTTGCAGCAGGGCAGGCATCAGGCCGGCATGCACCATGTGGGAGCAGGCCGTCCAATCAGAGGAGAGCAGAGCCAGCAGGTGCAGGCAGCGCCGCCACAGCAGGCGCTGCTCCTGCCGGGCCTCCTCCCTCAGTGCCTCCACTTTCTCTGCCCTCCATGCCCCTTGCTTCTCCGACCCACCCTTCTCTGCCCCTGCCTGTGATGCCGATGCACCTGCTGCTGCCGTTCCCTCCCCTCCACACGCATCTTCCAGCCCTCGCCCATTCCCCCGTATGTTCCCCCCACACCTCTCTTCCCCTGCCACTGACGTATCCTTGCCCCTCTCCCAGCACACAGCCACAGCACCACTCTTGCATCCCTCACGCTCCACCCCCTCCCTCTCCTTTTCCTCCGCCTTCCGCTTTGCCCCACCCTGCCGCCTCATCACCTGCCCGCTCTCTGCGCCCTTCCCCTCACGTGCATCCCACACAGCCACCGCACTGCACCTCGCACCACAGCTCCTGACACCACACTCGTCCTCCACACCAACTTGTCCCTTGCCACCATCGCCCCTGCCAGTCTCTGCATCCAACATCACACACCCACTAGCATCTGTCTCTGAACCTCCTTCCCTACCCTCCCTGCCCTCCCTGCCCTCCCTCTCCTCCCTCTCCCCCCACCATGCAGGCAGCAAGGCCAGGCAGTGCCGGCTGCCGTGTGGACACCGCACACTTGCTCCCTCCCGCTCAACCCTCTGTGCTGCTGCCACCACCGCCGCCAAGTTTGCTGCCAGTGCGCCATCAGAGCCATCAATGCGGCATTCCACAGCCTTTCTCTCGTCTTCCACTCCACCTCCCCACCATCGCCCATGAATCCCCCGCCCCCCCACCCCGCCCATCTCCATATCCACTGCATCCTCCTCAGCGCCCCGCCTGCCAGCACCAGCAGCACGCGCACAGTGCTCGCCCGCCCCACTCCCCTCCCCTGCCATGCCCCCGCCCTCCCCATCACTCAGGTCTGCACCCCCTCCCTTACTCTCCCCACTCTCGCTGTCTCCCTCTTTGTCATTTACACCCTCCCTCTTGCCCTCACTATCCTTACTCTCGTCCTCACTATCTCCCTCCATCTCCTCACTCTCCTCATTCTCCTCATCGCTCCCCTCACTCTCCTCACTCTCACTCTCCTCACTCTCACTCTCTTCACTCTCACTCTCCTCATTCTCACTCTCCTCAGTACCCTCATCCCCACTACTACTCTCACTCGTCCCGCCGCCCAACCCCCGTCCAAACAGAGTCTGCAGCAGCCTCAGCTGCACCTGTGAACGCCCAGCCTCTCCGCGCTGCACTCCCCACCTCTCCTCTCCTCCCCCCTCCTCGCCATCCCCATCCACAACCCCAGCTTCCTCTCCTCCCCACTCCTCATAGTCCTCGTCCTCCTCCTCATCCTCACCCTCCTCACCCTCCTCATCCTCCTCCTCCTCCTCCTCATCCTCCTCCTCCCCCTCCTCCCCCTCATCCATGTCAGTGTCACTCGCACTCTCCCCACCATCCGAAGCCATCGCAGCAAGCCCCATATCCACACGCCCATCCACACGCCCATGCACATGCCCATCCACATGCCCATCCACATGCCCATGCACATGCCCGTCGATATGCATCTGCCACAGATGCCACAGAGGCGTCTCATCCTCCTCGCTCTCCTCACTCTCCTCACTCCACCCATCCTCTCCCCCTGCACTCTCACCCTCCCCCCTTCCTTCGTTGCCGTCCTCCTGCTCCTCCACCCCATCCTTCACTCCCATCATCATCGCTCTCCAGTCTCCCCCTCCCCCGCTCTCCCCATCTCCTGCCTCCACTCTCCCCCCCTCAACCCTCCGGCACACCTCCTCACCCCTCTTCTCCTCGTTACCCGAATATTCTACATTCACGAATACCCGTGATGCGAATATTTTCGAATACATGGTCGTTTCTTATTCTCTCGAATTCAGGTATTCGAACGAATATCGAATAGTTCTCGAATACCGAATATTCTTTTACAGGCTTAGGTGCAGGTGAGGGGGAGAAGGGGTGTTGGGGAGGGGGGAAGATGGGGGCACGTGAGCGAGGAAGTGGACATTTTCTTATGGCGTTGACTCTCTGCATTATGTAGGCAGTTTCGGCACGCCTGGTAGGCCAGCACGTATGGGGAGTGAACGCTCCAGGATGGGGAGTCGACTCGAAACGCTCCAGGGCGTATGGGGAGAGAACGTTGACTTCACACTGCAGGAGAGATCTCCTCTGTCTGCAGGCAGGGCGGGTCACGGCTGGCAGGGCGAAGAGTGGACATCAAACCGAAATTCACTGCACTCAATTTCTTCCCTTTCTCGATCGGCCTCCCTTCAAGTGTCTTCCTCTGCCAGGCTGTGTTTGCTCTCAACGGGGCAGAGCAGGGCTTGCCAACTCAAATTACCTGCTTCCAACTCGCAACCCCCACTTCTTCTTCCTTCACCTCCCAGGCCGAGTTCGCTCTCAACGCTGTGAACTTTCTGCACCGCGTGGGCCGGACTGGCAGGGCGGGCAGGCCCGGGCGCGTCACGAGCCTGTACACAGCTGGCAGCGCGCCGTTGGCCGAGGCCGTGAGGGCAGCAGTGCAGAGGAGGGAGAGCACGGTGAGTGCTTCAGAGGCCATGTGGTGAGATGGGAGGCAGTGCAGAATGGGAAGAACACATGTAGTGGCTGGGGAAAGGGGAGGGGTAGTGGGGCTTGTGGTGAGATGGGGGAGAAGGGGGAAAGCATGGTGATTGGGATGTGTGGCATCTGAATCTGTTGGCTGTGCTTCATCCCGTTCCTTGTCAGTTTTGTGCTACTGGAGTGCCCGCTTTGAAAAGTTTGCACTCAGCTGTGAGTCTTGTTCTTGCGGAGTCATTTTCCATTCGTCCTCACCCTTTGTTAAACAGGAAAGTGCATTCAGCCGCAAGCGAAGCTTCCGCAAGAAACTGAAGAAGTATGGAGGAAAGGATTGATATATATAAATGATCCATATTGTGAATTGGTGTTTATACTGCATTGCATACTCAATGAAAGTTTTGGAGACCTGCTCAAAATCTGCAAGTAATAAAAGGTAGACGTTTGTTCATAGAGATGTATAAAAAAAACGCAATAAATGTAGGGCATGAACTGCACCAAGTGCGACCAATTCGAATCTGAAACATATTATTAGGGCTCTCACTTGCAGTGTGTGCTACGGGGGTAGTAAAACAGGGAACGAGCCCTACCATAAGGAATGCAACACAATAAAACTAAAAGCCCCAAGTGGCGTCAATCTGGGTGAGTAGGGTACCTTCTCCCCACCTTCCCTTTCATTCACATCCGCTTTACAACATTCTTTGAACGGTACAGTGTGTATCCGCGTGCCATGCGGGATCACATCACATGATCTGGAGCTCTGTGTGGGGGAAGCCCGCCTGGGCGCGGTAGGTGAGGAAGAGGTGCTCCAACGCCGCCACGTACTGCGCATGCACCTCCGCCACCTGCATGGCGGGTGAAGCGAGACGATGGCGTGTGAGAGGATGGCGTGTGAGAGGGTGGCGTGTGAGACGATGGCGTGTGAGACGATGGCGTGTGAGACGATGGCGTGCCATGCATGGGATGTTGGGGCGCATGGCACGGCAAGCAAGGGAGGAAAGAGTGTGACGAGGAGGCGAGGGGACATGAAGGCAATCATAACACATACTTGAACGCACCACTGCCACCACGCATCCAGCTCCCAGTCATGCATGCACCCATGCTTGCACTTATGCATGCACCCATGTTTGCACTTATACATGCACTCATGCCTGCATGCGTACAGCCTGTGCCCTGCTTGTGGCCTTCACCCGCCTACCGCATTAGTATAAAAGCTGTGTTCCCAGCCCGTCACATATCAGTTGCAGACTCACCCGTTCTTTGGAAGGGTTGGGGTCGGGGTCCCCGCCGGCAATGGGTTTGCCGAAGACGATGGTCATGGGGTTGCGCAGGGGGATGGGCGACCCCCACATGCCCCAGAACACAATCGGCGCAAACCCCAGGCGCCGTGCCATCGCCCGGTACCATGCACCCTGCGGCTTCCACCAGTGGTACGCCGTGGTCTGAGGGAGGGGGGGTGGGCGCATGAGAGGAAAAGGGGGAAAAAGGGGGGAACTTGCTGTGCCGGGGGCGAGGCGAGGCGAGCAAGGAGGTACGAGAAGCAGGCGCAGTGGCAAGGGCAAGGGCACGTTGACAAGTGTGGGTGCTGTGCTGCATGCCCCTGCCAAGTGGGCCAACAGAAAACTGCCGGGCGCAAAATGGCATCCTGCTCCGGCACACCACCTACTGCACTCCGCCCTCCGGCTCCCCCCCTTCCACCATCCGCCTTGTGCCCTGCGCCGGGCGCCCGCCCCTCTGAGTGCACCTGGCCGAAGACGAAGCAGGGCACGACGGGCACCCCCTGCTCCAGCGCCAGGCGGATGAAGCCAAAGCGCTGCCGCACAAACGCCACCTGGGGTGACGGGAGTGAGGGAGGGAGGGAGGGAGGGAGGGAGGGAGGGAGGGAGGGAGGGAGGGAGGGAGGGAGTGAGGGAGGGAGGGAGTGAGTGAGTGAGGGAGGGAGGGAGGGAGGGAGGGAGGGAGTAAGTGAGGGAGGGAGTGAGGGAGGGAGGGAGTGAGGGAGGGAGGGAGGGAGGGAGGGAGGGAGGGAGAGAGTGAGGGAGGGAGTGAGGGCGGGAGGGCAGGGAGGGAGGGAGAGAGGGAGTGAGTGAGGGAGGGAGTGAGGGAGTGAGGGAGTGAGGGAGGGAGGGAGTGAGTGAGGGAGGGGAGGGAGGGAGGGAGTGAGGGAGGGAGTGAGGGAGGGAGGGAGGGAGGGAGGGAGTTAGGGAGGGAGGGAGGGAGGGCAGGGAGGGAGGGAGAAAGGGAGGGAGGGAGGGAGGGAGGGAGGGAGGGAGAGAGTGAGGGAGGGAGTGAGGGCGGGAGGGCAGGGAGGGAGGGAGGGAGGAGGGAGGGAGGGAGTGAGTGAGGGAGTGAGGGAGGGAGGGAGTGAGTGATGGAGGGAGGGAGGGAGGGAGGGAGTGAGGGAGGGAGGGAGTGAGTGAGGGAGTGAGGGAGAGAGGGAGGGAGGGAGTGAGGGAGGGAGGGAGTGAGGGAGGGAGGGAGTGAGTGAGGGAGGGAGTGAGGGAGAGAGGGAGGGAAGGAGGGAGGGAGGGAGGGAGGGAGTTAGGGAGGGAGGGAGGGAGGGAGGGCAGGGAGGGAGGGAGAAAGGGAGGGAGGGAGGGAGGGAGGGAGAGAGTGAGGGAGGGAGTGAGGGAGGGAGGGAGGGAGGGAGTGAGGGAGGGAGGGAGGGAGGGAGTGAGGGAGTGAGGGAGTGAGGGAGGGAGGGAGTGAGGGAGGGAGGGAGTGAGGGAGAGAGGGAGGGAGGGAGGGAGTTAGGGAGGGAGTGAGGGAGGGAGGGAGGGAGGGAGTGGATACGAGAGTGAGGATGTGAGGGAGTAAGGATGAGGGAAAGGGGTAGAAAGGAGCATCGAAATTGGGGAGCAAGGGCAGCGGTAGGAGGGAGAGCGGAGAGGTGAGCATGGCAGGCAGAGAAGGATGGGATGGCGACTCAACTCCTTGCCCCATAAACCACCTCTTCTTCCTTCTCCCCATACGCCACCTTTCCCTCACACGCTACCTTCCCGCACATGCCACCTCCCCCCTGCACCCATGTATGAGTTGGGCGCACCTCCCTGCCGGGCGCCATGAAGACGCACTCCTGCACGCCGCCCGGGATGATGACCACGGTGCACCCGCGCTTGAGCAGGCGCGTGAGGGTGGGACGCGTGGCGGGCGCCGTGCGCACCCACTGCCAGAACTGGCGCAGCAGCGGCACGCGGAAGAGCGCTGACGTGGCGCCGGCGTAGCCGTGGACGAACATGGGATGCTCCATGAGCGCCGCCAGGCCGATGGGCAGCACTGAGTGCGGCTCCAACCCCACCACTGCCCGAGGGGGAAGGGGGAGGGGGAAGGGATGAGCGCAAATCATGGATATGTAGGGGGCTGGGAAGGGGAAGGGGGAAGCGAGGGTTCAGCATGTGAGAATGGTATGTATGCAAGAGGTTGCTTCTTGTCCCGAGTGTGTTAAATGTGAGTAGCCGGGGTACATGGTGACTGCGACCATGTTCCTATTACCCAGGCACTTGGAGGACCAACGCAAATGCGGCAAATGTTCGACCGTTGCACGAGTGCTGAGGGCGTGTTGCAAGTAGAGAATCGATCGCCTCCTCGAACCGATCCTCACTGTGGTCAACTATCGTAGCGCAAGGTTACCATACTACAGTGTTAGCACTGTGCACGACCGAGGAGATTAGCGGAAACCAGCTCGATCGCCTCGCCTCGCCACGAAGATTGATCATGAGATTGACGATGCAGACAACATACAGTCACGACACCACTTCGCGATGCGCAGAAAAACTCGCATGTCAGTGTTATATGGGCTGCAAAATTTGACGAGACAGTGGCGAACAGGGAGTTTATTGTTTCTGCGATTGAAAAGCGAAACCACACTGTCGCAATACTCTAGGTGGTAGTACGCTTGGGCGGTTGTCGTACACTGATCGATATTCAGTGAGCCCAGGATCTCCAACAACGGATCGGTGTGCAGCCACGATCCTTCGATTTTCAAACTTGCAACATGCCCTGAAAGATGACGAGTTCAGTTCAACTGAGAAGCTCAATCAAATATACGATGCACGTCCGTCGCACCGTAGGGCTTGCCGAAGGTGATGGTGGTTGGGTCGAGGAAGAGCACGCGCACGGGGAAGTGGCGCAGCACCACCGGGTAGATGAACCTGTCATCGGCGCACACAGCATGGCGCACACAGCATGGCGCACACAGCATGGCGCACAGCGGGGACGACACAGCGAGTGAGAAGGCACAAAGAATGGCAGCGTGAGGGGAAGGGAACGGAAGCGTGAGGGGAAGGGAATGGCAGCGTGAGGAAAAGGGAATGGAAGCGAGTGCAACGGACTAGCGTCGGGAGATGAGGAAATTGCGGCGGGTGGGAAGCGACTGACGCGTGAGTAAGTGGAGTTACAGGCGTTAGAGCGGAACAGCCGCGCGACGGATTCTATCGTGCTCGCGATGACCGATCTCCTGCTACTGTATGAGCAACATCACTTCGACCAGGTGACGGCCAAGGGCATTTAGACGCAGTAGTCAAACAGTACTCCACCGCGACCACTTCGTCCCTCAGCCGTCTTGTGCTGCCCTTCCTTTTCCCCGACTTCCGTCGTTTCCGCGGGTTGCTGACCTCATTTTGCACTTGCGCTCGCTTGATGCTCAGCTCCGCTCTGCTGCCCCTGACGCCGACCTGCTTGCCACCAACCCTCCCGCTATGTGGATGACACTGTACCTGCTTTCCACCTGCCTCCCTGATCGCTTTGCCACAGCCCGTAACCACTTTCTCACTGTCAATCCCATGTCCCTCACTATTGACCTCTTTGAGAAGAGGCTCACTACTGTTGAGGACCTTGCCCGCTCCCTTGCTCCTGCCTGTAGTACCATCCTCCCCCCCATCTTCGAGGGGTGTGCCCCTTCGTTCCTTGCCTCTTCTGTCGACTCGAATTCTGTTGCTACTGCATCGGAGGTTGCAGCTGTTGCCTTTGGCAACAAAGGGGGCAATAAGATCGGTAAGAAGGGGAGAGGTGGTGGCAGTGGTGGGGGTGGCGGAGGGGGCAGCGGTGGAGGTGGTTGAGGGGGCGGTGGTGGAGGTGGTGGAGGGGGCGGTGGTGGGGGGGGCGGCGAGAGGGGTGGGATTGGTGGTGGAGGTGGAGGTGGAGGCAGTGGAGGAGGTAGTTAGTGGGGCGTCGAAGCACAGCAGCAGTAGCAGTCATAGGAGCAGCGGCAGCAGCAGTTCCAGGGCCAGTGCCAGCAGACCCAGCAGCAGCAGTGGGGGCCACCTGGACCAGGGAGCTCTGTCAGCAGTAGCGGCCCACCCAGCTGGACGTCGCGTGGCCCAGTCCAGCACCCCCCCTGCCAGTACTGGGTGCGGACTGGGCCGCGCAAAGATGGCATCTGTGGCCGCCTCCACCCTGCGGGTCAGAGCTTTGCGCAGCTTACTGACCGCTGTCGCGCCCAGTTTGGCCCCACCCGCACTGCCCCAGACTGGGCCTCACTGGTCCGCACTGTTGACACGCAGTTGTATCGCATATCTGCCGCAGAGTTAGCCACAGCGTTAGATAATGCTGTACGATCTGTTTCTGTGATGTATGCTGATGACTCTAGTGCTGATCGTTATGGCAATTACTCTTGTTTGTCTAGCTTAGGTGCTGTAGAGGTTGCTAGTGCTGTACCAGCTAGAGTAGCTTGCACAGGTCCAACCACCCAGTCTGCGTCCCTTTCGTTCACACTCGACCCTGGGGCGTCCAGCTGTTTCTTTCGTCGCCACACCAACCTCACGCTGTTACGCACCCCGGCCACTGTCGCCTTGGCCGACCCCTCAGTAGGAGAGGTGGTTGCCCATAGCACCACCACTTTCCTGTGTCCGGCAGCTCCCACTAGGGTCCTCACGGGTTACTACACCCCCTCGTTCTCTAAGAACTTGGTTGGTGTCAGCCACCTCCGCGACCTCAGAGTAGTCACCACTTCTCCTTCAGACGAGCCTGTTGCCTCTTGCACAGACGGTGTCACTGGGACCCCTCTGGCTACTTTCCCCAGAGAGCCGGGCTCTGCTCTTTACTCACTACACACTGGGTCCTGCCACAGTGGGTCAGGCCAGGTCAGGTCAGGTCAGTTTGTTGCTGTGTCGTGAGACTGTCGGTCACTCACCCACCCGTCGGTCCTCTGGCATCACCGTCTAGGTCACCCGTCGTTCCCATGTCTCAGTAGGATGGCACGTCACCGTTTGGTCTCAGGTCTCCCACAGTCGCTTGCCCCGCTTCCTCGCTCGCCTGCGCCACCGTGCACTCCTTGCGTCGAGGGTCGGCAGCGTGCTGCCCCTCACTTCTCCTCGTTCCCTCCCATAACGGCTCACTTCCAGACCCTGCACTTGGACGTATGGGGTCCCTCCCTGGTTCTTGGCCCACATCAAGAGCGCTACACCACGGTGTTCCCCTTGCGACGGAAGGCCGACGTGCCCACTGTCCTCGAGCCGTGGCTACTAGCGAGGGGTGGCGATCGGGCCCTTTGTGGGCTCCGCCTGCACTCGGACCGTGGTAGTGAGTTTTCTTCCTCTCGCCTAGAGACGTTCTGTCAGGGTCGGGGATCATCCAGTCTTACACGCTCCCAGCCTCGCCGCAGCAGAACGGGGTAGCCGAGCGACACATCGGCCTGGTTATGGAGGTTGCTCGGACCTCCATGTGCCATGCCGGTGCCCCCCAGTTCCTGTGGCCTCAGGCAGTCTGCTTCGTCGCACACCAGCTAAACATGTGGCCCAGTGATGCACGGCCACGGGTGATGCCGGTCTCCCTTTGGATAGGTTGTCCGGGCGTAGCAGCTGACTTCCACATATGGGGTTCACTGGCTCACGTTCGTGCCCCTGGCGTGAACAAGCTGTCCTTGCACACTCGTGCCTGCGTCTTTCTTGGATTCCTGTTGGACGCCTCCGGCTGGGTGTTCTACGACTCGGTCACCTGCGGGTTCTTCGCCTCTCAGGACGTCACGTTTGACGAGTCTGTTTGTTACTACAGAAATCGGCCCCACCGAGGTACTGAGGTCTTTCCCCCCCCCGCTGTTCCTCACCCTTGAGCCCCCCCCCCTTCACGTCTTGCCCCATCAGGTGTGTCTGACGTCACTACGCAGTCGTCGCCCCCGCAGCGTCCAGTCCCTGTCGTGTCTGGGGATGTGGGAGGTGCAGTTGTGGAGGGTGAGGGTGCTGGGGCTGCTGGAGCTGGTGGTGTCAGTTCTGGGGGTGTGGGCATAGAGGACACAGCAGCCTCGACTCGGCGGCCTCGCCCCCGCGTCACCACCTGGCATCCCGTCCTGCCCGCACTTCCCTCCTAATTCTTCTATGCGGCTGGTTGCTGCGGAGCCTAGGGATGTTCTTGCGGGAGGAACTGGAGGTCCCGGGGGTGTCGGTGGTGGAGGTGCTGGTTCTAGGGGTGCTGGAGCTGGAGGCACTGGCACTGTGGTGCCCACACCGCGCACTATACGTTTCCTGACCCATGAGCAGCGTCTCCTCCGGTTGGAGAGGGAGGAGCGTGAGCGGTTTGAGAGGGCACAGCAGCACCAGTAGCACCAAGAGCAGGAGGAGTCTCAGTCCACTCCCTTGACTCATCTCCTCTTCTCCCAATCACAGTTTTCAGCTCCCCCCTTGCTGTGCACAATGAAGTCCGACTCAATTTCCACAAGTGTCGGCGCCAACGTATTTTTGGCAGAGTTTCCCCTTAGCGGAAGTCACATGCAACCTCTAGAACTCCACTTAGGCACGCCCACAGGCCATGGTGGGTCTAAGAGGGTCTTCACACTTCAGTAGACTCTCCACAAAGTCCTTAATCGGCTCTGATACCACTTGTTAGAGACTAAGGACGGAGTCTATGAATATTAGGGGCCGAAATATCTCAAAATCGTTGGTCTAAGTTTTTGGACAAAAATGTCGACTTCACAAGAAACGCCGTCGTCGAAAAATGCACCGTTAGAATTCTCTCAAACTCGAGTATGTTTTAGCCTGACCGTGGCTATCTTTCCCAATTTGAATCATATCAAAAGATGGAGTATAACCCGAGTTATGAATTTCGGCGCACTAGGGTGTCTGCTGCCATAGAAATTTAACTCAATCACAATTGTCTCATAAGACCACACAAGAAAGTTAGAGTGGCGATCAACCATGTGGGAGGGGATGAGAAGGAAGAGAGGTAAGGTCTCAAGAGAGTCCCCAACCAACGAAACCCCATACCACACAATTCCCATCTCTCTAGGCACCCCAACTTTGACATTTGTCACTTTCCCAACCCATGGTATCCACCTCACCCAACTTGGCCACACTTGCCAACCTGGTTTGGCTTCTCCCAACCACTTAGCATCAACTACAATGATGCGGACGAATT